AGAGTCTTGTGGACCGGTACGGAGACGTTTGTACTCATCTTTGAGAGGCTATCGAACTATTAGGAAACTCACTTTTCTTGCATTCTTATTGTGCGAATTTGTTAATTCCGAAGTTTGAAACTTGACTCTTCTATTCTCCCACAGATGGTGAGAACACGTGTGACCGGGTCAGGCGGACGACCACCAGTACTACCAGCTAGAGCCGTGAGAGGTTGGGGCCGCGGTAGAGGCTGAGGTGTAGCTCCTACTACAGCCAGAGCAGCACCTATGGAGCCACCTGTTACTCAACAGATGAGCAAATATCAGATGTTCTTGAGCTAGTGGGACCAACTGTGCCCATTGTGATCCTAGGCCTTCAAAGGCCTTAGCCCAGACTTTGACCGTGTGAACGAGCCTAGGTTAAGCAGTCTCAGTTCCAACTGCACCAGCCACTTCAGAGGCTAGGGGAGGTGCCCAGACTCCTGCAGCCCGTACTCCAGAGCAGGTAGCTCAGGAACTCCAGACATCGGGGGTAATACCAGCCCATTTGGTTGTTGCTGCTCGGGACGAAGTTGGCCCACCTATGAATGATGAGGAGCAAAAGAGATTGGAGCGGTTCGGTAGGCTTAAGCCTCCAGAGTTCAGCCAGGAGGAGTCAGAGAATGCTCAGGATTTCCTAGACCAATGTCAGTAGCTTCTTCACACAGCGTGTATATTGGAGACCAGTGGAGTTGCATTTACAAATTTTCAGCCAATAGGGGCATCATACAAATGTTGGCAGGCCTATGAGTTGAGCATGCCAGTTGGCACAACGCCACTTTTATGCCATGAGTTCTCCATTCTCTTATTAGAGAAGTTTGTCCCACATCCTCGCAGGGAGGAGCTGTGTAGAGACTTTGAGCAGCTACTCTAGGGATATATGACTGTGACCTAGTGTGAGATGAGATTTGCAGATTTGGCATGTCATGGTTTATGGTTGGTTCCCACAAAGAGAGAGAGGATCAGGAGGTTCATAGATGGAAACAACTATGGCCTACATTACAGTTTGGCCCGAGAGGCCGAGACGGATGCTAGGTTTGATCATGTGGTCAAGATTGCTAGGTGCTTGAAGTCGGTTCGCAGGTTTGAGAGCAAGGAGTGGGAGGGAAAGAGGCCCTGTAGATTTGGTGGTTTCAATTATACCTCATCTGGAGGTCAGTCACATTACAATAGAGGCTGTCCTTACAGGCCCACTCAGATGGATCGTCCGGCTCATCGTGGTGTATCAACTAGTCATGGTTCATACAACACTCGCCCATGTTAGTCGTCTTTGAGTGCACTTCCAGCTCAGAGCTCGTACCGTGCACCATCAGCTCAGGGTTCATTAGTACCGGGTTCTTCCAGTGGCCATTCTAGTTCCCGGGGTCCGATGCAGGCCCCACAGTTATTTCCAACTTCAGGTTGTTATGACTATGGAGAGTTGAGGCAAGTGAGGAAGTATTATCCCCGTCATTACAAAGGTCCAATGCAGCAGGGAGGCCAATCTATGACCCTTGCACTAGTTGCTACACCACCCGCTCAGCTAGCTCGGGGTGGAGGTCGTGGGGGTCGAGGTTTTCCCAGAGGGGGAGGTCTGACAGGTGGTGGTCGGGCTCGATGCTATGCTTTTCCAGCCGGGCCAAGGCAATTGCTTCACACGCAATGATCATAGGTATTGTTTCAGTGTGCCACCGGGATGCTTTAATATTATTTGACCTTGGTTACACTTATTTATATGTGTCATCATACTTTGCCCGTTATTTGGATATGCCCCGTGATTCTTTAGCTATGCCTGTTCATTTATCTACACTGGTGGGTGATTCTATTATTGCGGATCATGTGTATAGGTCGTGTGTGGTGACTATTTGGGGATTGGATACGAGAGTTACTCTTTTGCTACTTAGTTTGGTTGATTTTGACGTGATTTTAGGCATGGATTGGCTGTCACTATGTCATGCTATTCTGTATTGTCAAGCTAAGACTGTGACGTTGGCAATGCCAGGATGGCCTAGGTGTTACACCCCATGTTTTCGTACGTGAAAGTACGCCATAAGTAAATTGATGAAGCTCGAAAATGAGATATTACATTCCGCATTTTTCGTACGTTAAAGTTTCATCGTAAGTTAATCGATGTAAGTTTGGGAATGAGATTATTATAAGATTATAAGCATTTTATACTATTTCAAACAAGTAATGAGTAAATTTGTGAAGGTGAGAGGATAAGCAAATCGAAAAAAATGAATTTCGTTGAAGTTTGACATTTTGGGATAAAATACGGTCCGAGCTATAATACCCGATATTTATGGACTAGTACCATACAAGGTACCACATGGTCATAATAGTAAGGTGCATAAGGTATGTTAAAAGTGGGTAGTATTTTAAGTAATTTGAGATAGTTCTTAATTATGTGGGTAATTGGTTAATTATTGGTTAATGGGAGATTAATAAGTTAATCAAGTGATTAGTGGATAATTAATCCAAATATTTGGATAAGTGTTACATCTCCAAACGTGGCGGCCCTTTAAAGGCAACGTAATGTCTCTTGAATTGGGATTGATAGGTGTCAAACTTAAGTTTATTATGTGTCTTAGTCATTAGTTATGTGGGGCCTACCTTAAAGTAAGGATAAAATTTGGAATCTCTTAAGAAAGGATTCAGGAAAAGTAACGTTTTTGCTAAGTGTTTTCAGCCATTTCCTTACATAGTAATATTATTGTCCATCTCATAAGAAAGAGCTTCCACTAAGACTTCCTAATGTAAAACGTTACTGCCAATTCTTTAAGGAAAAATTTCAGCCAACATTATCGTTCCATAGCAACGTTGTTGCTTCAAACTTTTCATACAACTTGTTCTTTGTTGTCGCAATTAACGTGTGTTAGAGGGATTGTCAAGAGAATCGGCTCAGGTATGTTAAGACTATCCCTTCCTTCTTCTTTTTGGCATGATCCAAGTTATACAAAAGAACGAGCAAACGCACAGTTTTTCTTAAACAACTCTACTCATAGAAATACTAGGGGTCTCTATGTTCTTGATTCCCCATGTGACATATTATTATATCTTCTGTTCATGGGTCTCAGAATAATAAGCAGTTGACAAAAATTTATCCGCAAGGAATATTGAGATTATTAACATATTTTCACGCATTTTATTCATTTATACATGTACATTTACCCATGACTCAGACGGCGTTATAAACACGTATATGTGTGTGTATGTGTGTGTCTGTGTGTCTATATGTATATGGGATATGGGAAAAGGTTACGGCATTATATACGCACCACCACCTGATCAGCTGGTATACGTTGATGATTTTGGCCACAGTGGCTGAGATGATATGATGGGATGCCCTCAGAGGCTTGATAATGTTATGAACACACATACCTATGTACGACATGACATTTATATGCATATGCATGACTCTATAAGTATTTCATGATTTACAGAGTTATCCAGACTTACAGGTTGAGTCATTTACTCTATATTTCTTCCATGTCTTTTATGTACTTATTTATGTGCCTTACATACTCGGTACATTATTCGTACTGACGTCCCTTTTGCCTGGGACGCTGCGTTTCATGCCCGCAGGTCCCGATAGACAGGTTGAGAGTCCTCCAAGTAGGCTATCAGCTCAGCGGAAGATGTTGGTGCGCTCCATTTGCTCCGGAGTTGCTTGTCTTGTCAGTACGATTTAGGCGCATATTGTTTGGTATGGCGGGGCCCTATCCCGACCTTTATGTTAAGTGTGTACTCTTAGAGGCTTGTAGATAGATTTCATGTATACGAATGCTTGTATGGACTTGTCGGCCTAGGTTTTGAGTTTACAAATGATCATGTTGGCCTTATATGTCACGACCCAAATCGATGGGCCGCGACGGGCACCCGGTACCTTACTCAACCGAGTACCAATATTACGTATCTTTTCATGTTATACTACCATAGATAACTGAGTCGGAAGGCTTCCGTGAGATAAGTAGAATACAACATCTGATACCTACTTATACATAAGACATACGGGTCTATAAGGCCAAAATAACCACTCGTACACTGAACATAGGCTGACAAGGCCATAAAATCTTTTACGTACATGACATCTGTCTACAAGCCTCTAAGAATACATAATTTTCATAAAGGTCGGGACAGAGTCCCGCCATACCAAACAATACACACCTAAATCATACTAACCAAACAAGCAACTCCGAAGCAAATGGAGCGCACCAACATCTTCCGCTGAGCTGATAGCCTACTTGGAGGGCTCTCGACCTGTCTATCCGGACCTGCGGGCATGAAATGCAGTGTCCCCAGGCAAAAGGGACGTCAGTACAAATAATGTACCGAGTATGTAAGGAATGAAAATCAGTAAATAATAGACATGAGAGAAACATAGAGTAAAAGACTCGACATGTACGTTTGCATAGCTCTGTGAATCATTTCATTTTTATAATGTCATGCATATGCGTATAAATGTCATACCATGCATGGATATATGTGTTCATAACATCATCATGCATCTCAGGGCATCCCATCATATCATCTCGGCCACTGTGGGCAAATCATCAACGTATACCAGCTGATCAGGTGGTGTGTGTGTGTGTGTATATATATATATATATATATATATATATATATATATACAAATGTTGTTTCCACACAACAAACAATTTCAGTTGCCTCCAAGCAACTCCCAAAAGGCGCAGCTGGACCAAACCATCCCAAATATAGAAAGCCATCAGACTACGCCATGAGTGGAGTCCCCCAATTTCATATGATAGAAAGTTCATGACCAATCTCAATTTCCTGTCCGAAAAAATGGGCAGACCTAGTTGAAGAAGTAGAGTCTCAAGAATCTCAAGCTCAACTAGCACAAACCATGTCTTCTCCTTGGACAGAAGAAGAATTCATGCAATGGCAACAACTCATGGGCATTAAAGATCAAATGACCATGCCTGCCTTATTTAAAAAAACTGAGAGATCAGCATCAATTGTATAAAAATTATTGTTCCAATATGGCGGCACAAAGCCACGCATCTTCTTCCAACTCCGTGGCGGCCCAAAGTCACACGGCCTCTTCACTTCCTGTGGCTGCCAGAAGCACCGCACAAAAAATATTGGAGGCTAAAAGCCCCATTGCAGGTACAGGGTGTCCATCCAACATCCCAAAGACTACAACCAATCAGGCACTTTCTTCATCAGTGCCACAACCTATTTCTTTACACAAGGGCTCCTCCTCCGAGGATCCCACTTATATTAAGAACGAAAGTGTTTACC